CCCTTTTTCCTCCCTTCCTCTTCGATTCCTTTCCCCCTTTCCTTTTTCCCACACTTATATATTTCCTATTTTGATAAATAATCGTCGCCAAACGATCTTTCAACATCATTTGACATCTAAAATAAAATTGGGAATATCATCTCTCAATATTCATTTGCTCTCTCTATTTAAAGGAAGWCTATACCGTTCCCGATAAAGCATCTTCGAGATTCCATACCTATATCCTGACAGATGAAGTCCGATCCATTCTTTCCTATAGTTAAATACCCATCATGACAGGCGCACGTAAAGTTCCCAGGGAAGTTAACACATTTCTGTTTACATCCCCCGTTAAGTACTTTACATTCATCAATATCTTGACACGTTAGTCCATCTTCTGTCAAGAAATATCCAGCATGGCAGGAGCACTTGAATGAGCCCGCGGTGTTGGTGCACATGTGATCACAGTCACCCTTCCCATCATGCGATGCGCACTCGTTGATATCTGTACACTTGCGGGACCTGTTTTAATTAATGACATAGTTCCCTTGGTTTCGACCATATAGCGATGTTTGTATGAGTGGGGAAAATATGGTACTTAGGCTCAGGTTAAACGTCGAACTTCAAATGAACCGAGCCTAATTGAAACAATGGATAACAAGATGGTCTTCTTCGATGTCATTAGGTTCGGCTCATGTGAAGTTCGACATTTGACATGAGCCTAACTTAACTTAGCACGTAGAGAGAATAAGAGAAAAATATCAAATGCCCTTGGCAGGATTCGAACCCACGTCTTCGGTATTCTAGTCCGATGTGTTAACCACTACACTACAAGGACCAACCACGCTGGTAACGCAGCCAGAATATGAAATGTAGGGTATTCGTGAGGATCCCAGAGCGATATTATTTCTCTATAGATAAGTTGAACACCGTAGGTTAGTACGAAATGCCGTAACATTGTACTGGCTTCCCATGGTCTTCCAGTAATTCATCGAACCACAGCGCGTAGTACGGTTACGTATGGTAAGATACAGTACGGCTATAGTATAGGGATACGAATTTGCCTTGTCATTTCCCACTCCTTCGAAAACCGCTGTAGGCTGCGCAGCACGAGACTTTGGTTCCGGATGTGTGTCATTAGTTTGGAAATCATAATACTCAAGTGAGAGGTTAACGAAGTAAATTCCTAAGACTCTTTGCGCTCCGCAAAAAAAAAAAAAAATGTACGCTGTATTTTCACACCCTTTATATATTAAGATATGTAATATAAATAAAAAGAGGCAAAACAGACGTACTCTGAATCAGTAGCATTGTAACCAGCTTCACACTTGCAGTGGTAGCCTCCTGCAGTATTGACGCACAGTTGCGAACATYCACCATTGTTTTTCATACACTCATCAATATCTTTACATCTGGTACGGTTATCGGCTTCTATGTAACCCTTATCACAAAGACAGTGAAAACTAAAGAAGGAAAAATAGTAAGATATTATCATATAACATATATCGAGGGCATCATGAGAGGTAATGCACTCGCTCAACGCCTTTGGGGYCTTAGCGTCAACGTATGGACTCAGCATCACATGTAAGTGGGGTTTGTTAGATCACTCTTCGAAGATTTCTCTCCGGGATTTTCTATTTTCCTCCCRCCGCAATACTTGGCAAGCTCAATTCGATCTGAGAGTTAGCCATGCCCTGACTCTTATCAACAAAGAGGTCGTTTCAGGACATCGAAAAATTAAAGGATTTTTTTATCCAGAAGGTATTGAAATGATGCTATAAGGTATTTCATTTGTAATCGRCGGTGTATTCCTTGTTTATTACCTTCCTTCTGAGTTAACACAAGTATGACAATCAGGCAAACCCTCTTGACATTCATCAACATCAACGCATTTGTTAGGCATCACTGTATTGGGCCTGAATCCAGGGAAACACGCGCAGMWGAAGCTACCTGCCGTGTTGATACACCTCTGGTCACACTGCACGCCACCCATCATACATTCATCCTGATCTGTAAACAACCAATGGGCAAGAAATATGGATCATTTACGTCACGAAAGTCACGTGATCGAGCACTTTAAGCAGTCGTACGATTTGGTAGCTTCAACTAGATTTTCAAAAGCCTTTTATTGATGGTTTTCACGTCGGMCATGTTGGAGGACTTTAACGAAAGAATTAATTGTCAATGAATTAWTTTGTTATATCCTCCAACATGGCCGCCGTGTCTTTTGTTATTTAATTCTCTTGGGAATGGTTGAAAACCATCAATAACTAGAATGTCATTTTCTCAGTAACAATACAATAGTCTTCACTTTTAAGGCCTTATCAAATAATATCAGAAAATATGAAGTGATAAGAAAATGTACCTCGGCAGATTCGTCCATTGGCACTCAAAATAAATCCATCGCGACATTTGCAGTAGTAGCTCCCCGGGGTGTTGATGCAGATTTGATTACAATGGTGAAAACTTGTTGSCATCTTGCATTCATTTATATCTAATAGGTAATAAAAAACAGATGATATATCAACTCATTCAGGCCATTCATCCTTAAATACTAAATAGCTGAAGTATTTAGAAAGTCTGTTCTCCAATATAAAATTACTAAACGCGTAAATTGAAGTCACCGGACGAGATAACGAAAGAGCCTTCTCTACATGTGCATGATAAAAAATTGGGCTACCTGTGCTATGGCTAACCGTGCATGTTTGTTTTCTGCATGGTTGTACATCTATAGATCCCTTGCATGTAACGCCAAAGCAGCTCAATTTGGAGGACAAGACAAAAGAATTTCAATCTCCTGAGAATTGGAAACCTATTGTTATGTCCTCTAAATTGAGCTACATTCCGACGTGCTGCAAGGGGTCTATTAAGGTATGCAGTAATAATAGTAGTGGCTGAATATAAGTATGGGTTACCTATACAAGAGTATCCATTTGTATCCAGTTGATATCCTTGGCGACACTCGCAGTAGTAACTGCCTTCAGAATCACGGCATACTTGCTCACACTTGTGTTGCTTTGTTGCGCATTCGTTTATATCTGCAATGACACGATAAATATCAATGCGCGAAGTAACTTATATGGTCCTAGCAAGCTTTAGTGTGCTGGTCTGTATAAGAAGCATTTAGTCAGACGTTCAGTGCGGTGCAAAAAATTTCTTYGTACTCTGATTGGGAGGTAAATTAAGAGACATTCTTAATTCGGTGCCGTGTCTTGACCAGTGGGAGGTTGGGCACTTATTTGTCGCGCGTGACATCGATCCGCAGAACTGAGGCGCCGTATGGACTTCACATCAAACGGGACGACATTCCCTTAGTGTGCGCAAATATTGAACCCTAAATGCATCAAGGGTGGCCTAGCCGGCCCCAGACGACATCTACAGYTAATCCTCTGCACTATTCATCTGCTGCGCGCCTTAACACGTGGTTCTACTTACTGACACATGTTTTGTTATCCTTAGATTGAGTATATCCCTCTTCACACACACAGTGAAAACTGCCTGGAGTATTGACACACTGACTCCTGCACCCACCATTATTGACTTGGCATTCATCAATGTCTATGGAATGAAAAAAACAAAACAAACAAAAAACAAAGATAAAATCGTTAACTTCTTTCTTTTATATTCTACGCTGTAGGTTGCATGCGCTTTCTACAGCCCTCAGTCGCTATAATGCCCTAGCTGACTGACTGACAAGTACTTAGCTCTCTCAAATGGCTTCCATATCAAAAGATATTGTATGCTCTCGTCTTTTTTGATTGGTCCATGCCAGAATAGAACCCATTATACTGCTCTTACCTGTACATGTTTCTTCATCAAAGGCCAAAACGTAGCCAGGATGGCAAGAGCAATGGCGTCTCTGCCCTCTGCTCGTACACATGTGAGAGCAGCCACCRTTATTAATACGACATGGGTCAAAAATTCCTAAAGATACAAAGCCAGAATAAAGCATTAAAGCATTGATTTAAGCCGAGGGAAAGTACATCTGTACGTAGCCCGAGTGGCATTGTCCACCCTACCGGTATAGACCGATACAGCGTGGATTACTTTATACCTGGAGTCTCAACTTGGTATCGAGCGCTGAACCCAGAGTGGCTTATAGACTGATCTGCAACAAACTTGATGGTCATGAAGTTGGACGTTGAACGTACAAGTGCAGGTAACCGTTTACCACAGAATTTGCCAAGTGAATGATCAGCAATACTAGAACCATCAAAAACCTGAACGTAATCATATATACAACCACTGGAATCTAAAATAAAGGAGAAAAAAAAAATTGACGTCACTTCCGGATAGTCTCACTTTCATTAAGAGGCCTGGTTACTATTCAAAATGGCTTCCTAGCTCTTCCTGCGCTTGCAGAATCTGATTCTTTACCTGCCTTTCTTTAAACACTCAAATGAAAATAATGTGGATAGTTTATGAAAAACAAAATATATCCTTACCTTCCTCTACCTCGACTTCAAAGTGGCTAAAAGCGAGAGAAATTCTTTTGCCTGTCGGAACTTCAATGGTATAAGTACAGTCTACGGACAACGGATACACATTCGGATGGTTTGGTGACGTAAYGGTTCCACTCAGACCTGTATATCGACGACTACAGCCTGTGAAAATAGACAAGAATAGAAATAAATATGGCGACTCTGTGGTCACATCATCAATAACGTGAAATCCCTGTAAAAGTTAACCCGTGATGTCCCCTTACGTTTAGCAAGCTAGTGATACACAGAAAACTATATAACAGACAGATTTACCTGATTGAGTGAAGTCCAGTCGAAATCCCTCAAAGTTGACAGAGAAATCAGAATGGAAGCGAAGAAATAGAGACGATTCCTCTGACACGATGACCCGTGGAAGCGTTGCTCCGCAGAGTTTGGCAATTCTTTTACTGTCCACTTTTCTCTCGCCATTGTAGATCTCAAGAGAATCGTACTCACATTCATGACTTGTTTCCACCTTATGGGGCAAAAATAGTCAAACAAATCAAAATGAAATTTAATAATATACACTTCTTAACCGGTTATTAGAAAGGGGCGTAATCATAACATGGATTTTAGACTACTGGAGAGGATGATGATGAGAAAAGATAGTGACTCTTGGGGGAATCGGCTATTCTTTCGCAATGACAATTATCCGACCGCCAAGGTGATAAATAAATAACTTCTTTTTCAAAACTTTTTTTCTCTTTTACAAATCCTTCTTTTTCTTTTCTTTCTTCATTGTTTTTGTTTTTGTTTTTGTTGTTGTTGTTGTTGTTGTTGTTTTGTTTTTGTCTTTTTGTTGTTGTTGTTGTTTTGTTTTTGTCTTTTTGTTGTTGTTGTTGTTGTTTTTGTTTTTGTTTTTTTGTCATTTTTTTGGTCTTTATTTTATTCCATCCTTTCTTTTCCTTTTCTTCCTCCAATGTAACTTCATTACATTAGACAGGATGATACTTGACCGTGGCAACCTAACACCGATAAACTTATGGCCTTTTATCTTAAGTGACTGAGACGACTGAGACAATACCACTAACATAATATGGTCACCGAACAACTCAATCCCCCGAGTGAAGACTGAAATAGAAGAATAACGACAAAGAAAAATAGGGCCCAACTGGAACGAGTGAAATGAGATTGGTTTATCCAAAGTTTATTAGTTGTCTCCTCTAATCACGCTTTCCTCGTCGCCGAGCGCGCCCTTTTCTGATGCGCAAGCCTTGACCGAACTCAATCATTTTCTCCGATATGATCGAACTTATTCTCGATTCTTCTATTGATTAAGAGCAACTTCCGTGTTCGCTTAAGACCACATACCTTAAAATCTCTGAAGGTAAGTGTAATACGAGATCCTATTTCTCCAATAATTTTCCATCGGCATTCAATTTCGTCCGGGTAGTTCCTTGGAAAGTTCGGTGAAGAGATTTCTCCAGAAGTACCTCTAATGGTTCCTCCACACTGTACTGTTGTTTTAAAAGGGTTAATAATCGTTTGTTTAGTAATTAGTATAAAACTAGATAAGCTGATTAGAGATCAATGTGGCTGGCTTTTTTATCAGTCTGTTCYGAGTGTCCCGCATTTGTTGGTCCTTCACTGTCTTTTCAAGTGAAGAGTCAACTGTGGTCTTTAGTATTGAYTTTTAATTGTTTTGCGTATCTAATGAATCAATCAGCATGTTTTCAATCTTGTCACTCAATTACGATCAAAACACCCCATAGATTCATAAAAATAATTGACTTTGATTGAGTCTATTTTTTATTTATTTATTTATTTGTTTTATTTTGTATATTCGATAATCAGTTCACAAAAAAATCATTTTCGAATTAAGACATTCCTCTGAGTTACTGTGAATTCTGCGCTTTAGTAGGTTTTCGTTTAATATAAAGTAGAAAAACAACAGGATATTTGTCTGGTACTCTAATTCTAATCTTGGCTTCAGCGTTAGACGAAACCCGAGTGCAACCAAGGTTATTTCAATGGCTGGACTCGTCGAAAAAGCTGACTTAATGCCAAGATAAATTCACGAACAAAACAGCACCCATGAATCCTGACTAAACACATCCAATTTTCTATATAAAATCCTTTGGCCAGAGCTTGGTTGAAAACTACTTAGACATAAGCTTTAATCATCCCTACATCAACAGAGTTAATCAGCCAAAATACGCATCTATTAAAGCTACACATCGGAAATGATTACAAAATTGGTAAACGCTGTAAACCAATTTTATCAAGGACTCTCATGAGTGAGATGAATAAAGCAAGAAATACTAAATAAAGTTGGTCATTTTAACGTACCGTTGGAAGAAGAACGGAAAGATCTTGAACGAAAGCGTGCTAGTCCACTGCGCGGAAGCGACTCGACTACACACAGGAACACAGTCGCAAGAACCCTTAAACCAACAAGAATATGAAGTTCATTTCATTGCCTAACCTTCTGAAACAAAGGTTCATTAAAAACAATTCTTACAATTGTAAACCAAATTTGCCGAAGAGGTTCATCTTCGTTCTTTGTTGCTGCAGTAGAATAGGATGTTTGGTAGACTCGCTCTGACSTTTATCGGTTGTTTTCAGCAAAGGTCATGAAACCAGATCCCTWTGAGAGGAAATCGTGGCATTCTCGATGGGTGAGTCGCCAGTCGTTGTCACCACGTGTTTTGGAYGAGAATCAAGATATATTTTAGGATGTAACTGTATGTTATAGTATCCATAACTTGGCGGGTCAACTTGTAAGATAATACTAAAACATACACAATTGAAAAAAMGCCTGGCTGCGCGCGCTATAAGAAGCTGTATAAAGCGTTTTTGCGYGCGGGAATTCTCTCTGGACTCGCAGATTCCAAGGGACATGACGATGTYCAAGTGCCGACAGCTTGGCATTCGTTCAATTGTTCAACAGCCAKTCGCGTTGAACGTGTTATTGGATTAAGCTGGTCATTTAATCCAGAGCACACGCACTTGAGTTCACATTGATAYTGTAGTGTCATTCTGTATATGTTGTATTAAGAAGGACCGCTTCGTCMAGAGACTCGCCACTAACATCATCATCTACTTTCCAACTCTCTGGATTCAAGGTATTCTCTTTTTTGACACTCCAGAGGTTCAAGGAATCTTTGTTGGGATTTATTTGTCGCTTATAAAGTAAGGCAGGAGGAAAAGCATGGTAAATCCAAGGCAAGTATCGAGATGCTCTCCCTGATAATCCTGAAGAGGGAGTTCGTTCTTCGCATAGTTATTGAAATTATTAGATTAAACTTGAGCCATTTGTTTACGTTAAATACTTCTTCTTCTATTTCCTAAGCTACTACTTATCATAATTCGTTCAGTAATAGAGTTCTGCTCGCGTAGATAGGTTAAATGATCAATGCTTGCTTGCTATAAGTTTGGTTAATACAGCAAGCGCGTGACTCAGTTCTTTATATTCCTTAACATAAATTCTTTTCGCTCTTTCTCCTAGCAGACAGGCGATCAGAACTTCTTTTTTCTCTGTCTAACCGGGCGGGTATAAATAATAGTATTACTAAAACAGGCCCATTTGACTGTTCTTTTATCTCCAGCGTGCTAGCTCTCTTGGCCACTGTGTTTTGTGGAGCGGCATACGTTCAAGCATCGGGTAGGTCTTTCAACTTTTAGATTGAATTTCACTAAACAAACAAGCCAAAATCCTTACCAACGACATCAATTTTAAAAGCATATGTTGACTTCTAATCGATGACTTGAAGAATGATCAACACTCTAGATCTTTTTGGATCTCCTGGTTTAAATTCAAGTAATCGTTAATGATACCTGCTTCAATATTAAAAAGCTTATACTATTGTGTATAGAAGTGGACTTTCTTCTTCACATMATCGGGATGTCAGGGTTCAAAGAGTTTAGATAACGTGGTAGAATTCCTAAAGTTTGGAAGATCAGCAAGTTCTTAGGCACAAAAACAACGAAGGAGATGAACGAAACTATATACAATGTGTTTGTTTGTTTGTTTGTGATTCATGACGAAAATGTTCAGTGTCTTTTATATCTATTTTCATTTCATTTATTATAACCATTTTGAAAAATAGAAATCCATTTCGAATGATGTGAAGCCATATGTCGTATGGTCGGCAGMACGAAAGGCGGACGATATTCCGACCAACAGCGGCAAGATTACATTAAGAATTTATAAACCAAAAATCTACGAATATATTCTTAAGCTACATACAGCTATTGTATTCTTAGTTCGTGCTCCCAATCCCTTTATTCCGGTCTGTGATCTCGTCACATCCGGTCAAGRTGGCGGAAGTATCAGTGGACAGTGTGGTAAGCCATGATTACCCCCACGCTCTGTATAGACTATAAACAACAACTTGTCTAGAAAACCGCAACATGAAGCGGTGTTTTTGATAACAACGTCGATGTTTGGTGTTTCCGTTAAAATTGACGTTTTACCTTTCCGTTTTTATTTGGAACCCCGAGGTAGAAATTCAGGTCAACGAGTCATCTTTACCTCGTTATATTTCGCCGTTTGTCTTGTTAGGAATCAAAAATCATTCAAAACGTGGAAAATTCATCAAAACACAACAACTATTTGATGTCAAAATGTCTGGAAATGATTTTCAAAATGGCGTCGACCGTAGCGTTTTTGTTCTACTAAATGAAATTTTCTTGTCAACCTTTCCAAATCGAGCAATGTTCTGAATTTTAGGTGGTGTGGGGAATTTGGAATTAATTTTTCGATCCAGTATTAATTCCTCTTATCCGGGGCTTGGGGTGCACCACAGGGAACCCAAGAGTCGTCTATTAATTCGACAACGAACCACAGGTATCCCATGCRAAGTTCTAATATTTGTATCATATGCATATTCCAGCTGGTTGTGGTGGTACCTTAATGAAATCCTTTGGATACATTGTGTCTCCAAACTATCCCAGTCCATACTCCCCGAACAGCGACTGTTCCTGGATCATCAGTGCGTCAAGTGGTCACAAGATAACGTTCCGCGTCATCGACTTTTTACTCGAAGCACACAAGCAGTGTCGTRAGGATTTTCTTGACATTCACGACGGGCCTAGTTTAAACTCCCCTCGCATTGGACGGTATTGTGGCGCCAGCAGACCCTTTCCCGTCACCTCTAGCGACAATAAGCTGTACATCAGATTCAAGTCTGACTCGGCTCTGGAATTCAAGGGGTTTAAAGCCGTCTTTAATTCATCGTTAGGTGAGTCAAGAATGTTGACGTTGAACGTGTAGGACGCGTTAGYGGAAGCATGGTTTAGTTAGCATCAACCTAGAGGTTGTTTCAGGGTATATATAAATAAATGAAAGTCACTGTTTTATGGACATCAATGATTGCATTCTATTCATTTTTCATTTATTTGTTTACCTAGTGTGTGGAGGGACATATCTCAGTAACGATGGCATTCTTTCTTCGCCAAACTTTCCTCAGTTCTACTACGAGAGATCTGACTGCGTGTACAAGATTGTGGTCCCAACTGGCTTCACGGTCAAACTGAAGTTCACTGATTTCCATTTGGAGCCTGCTAGGACTTGTGAGTACCTACTGGAAGAAACATCTATGAGACTGCGAAGAGAAAGAATGGATGAATGGATACAAGAAAGAAAGAAWGAATGAATGAATGAAAGAAWGAAWGAAWGAAAGAAAGAAAGAAAGAAAGAAAGAATGAATGAATGAAAGAGGACTGTCATACCAACACTACAGCACCAAACATACTTTTGTCAAAATTGCTGTTTTCCCATGATGCAACACGATGCTTCAATAAGTACCAGACCCCTGCGTAATATGATCGTGATGTTTATTTACATCATATTGTTTTTATTTTCAGCTGGTCAATGTTTTGATTATGTAGAAGTGTACGATGGTAGCACTGTGCTGTCGCCCTCCCTAGGGAAGTTCTGTGGAGATCTTTCAGTATTTTCTCTTCAGTCAACGTCGAATATTGTGGTCGTCAGATTTATCTCTGACCAATCAATCAACAGAAAAGGATTTCGATTTACTTACACGGCTGAAGGTAAATTTTTCGTTTAGCACTTGYATAACAACGCAGGTTTTTGTAATCCATCGTCAAGTCATACTGACATTTTATTTTTCCCCGCGCCCTTCCCCCTGGGGAATATTTCAAAAATACGTTTGGCAGCTGCATAATCTTACGATGCTCGTGACTTCAATTTTATTCAATTGAAAAATTCTTCATCGTACGTAACTCAAGTGAYGTCAAATCAATTCAAATGACGTCAATTCAATTAATAAAAGTGAAGTCAATTCGTAATCATCGTACGAAACTCAAGTGCCGTCATAATTCACTTTTTCTCTCAGATCCATCTTTGTTGCTTACAACGACAGCAGCACCACTACCAACCACTCTTCCAGTAATTCAAAAGCAGTGTCTGTCTACTCAGTTTCAATGTGCAAACGGTAAATGTATTGATTCACGATGGAAATGCGACAAGCAGGATGACTGTGGTGACATGTCTGATGAACACGGCTGTCCATGTCGTCGTTATCAGTTTAGATGCGGTAATGGTGTCTGTATGGATCGCAGCTGGTTGTGTGATGGAACTRATGATTGTGGGGATTGGTCTGATGAACGGAATTGCACGGCTACTACGATTCCTGCCGTGACTCCGGGTAGGTAGCATACGATACTGCCATCATCATCATGCATTATCATCATGCATCATCACCAGTACCATGCGTTATCATCATGTATCCCTATCATCATCATCGTGCACCACCATCATCACATCAACACCATCATCATCAACATGGACAACAATCATGCACTATTAGCATAGTAATTATTATACCATTATAAAAAAATATTGATATGTTTGTGGCTAACATTACTTACCATTTGTGTAGCCACATAAGCAGARGTAACCAGTTCTCGCCCAGGAGACATCACTTTCATCTTGTCCTCTTGATGAGTTCACTTCTTATATATTCCTTTATGTTAACAGTCATCTTGAGTTGTTCCCAAGGCAACGGTGGATGTGAACACACTTGTACTCACGT